CATTGCCTATTTGAGAAAACGGCATTGTATTGTATCTTCGGGGTAAGACTATTATATTGTTGACACAACGAGTGTAATCAACGTAGTTTTTTATTTGGTGCTGGTCTAACGCATCCTTGTGTGACATTTGAAATGAAATTTGGGTGAAATTCCCAAGAAGAGAGAGTCCGCCTGACTCAGAGGTGGATTCTCCTTCCACACCATAACCCCTCTCCTCCTTCCCACCTCTCCATTGTCTCCCTCAAGCCAGCAACTACTCCTCATAAGGTAAAGTAAATATTAAAACACTACAACAAAACATTTATATTTACATGTGCAGTATTATATTTACATAAAAAAAAGTCATACAAGTATGGATGTTTTTGGGAGTGGAACGGATTAAATTTATTTCCTTTATTTTAAATGGGGAAATTTGTTTCCAAAGACGAGTTTTCCAGGTAACGAGCTCGGTGCCAGAACGGATTAAACTCGTTAATAGAGGTTCCACTGTATATATATATATATATATATATATATATATATATATATATATATATATATATATATATATATATATATATATATATATATATATATATATATATATATATATATATATATATATATATGTATATATATATATATATATGTATATATATATATGTATATATATATATATATATATATATATATATATATATATATATATATATATATATATATATATATATATATATATATATATATATATATATATATATATGTATATATATATATATATATATATATATATATATATATATATATATATATATATATATATATATATATATATATATTTTTTAAATACATACAAGAGTTGTTACATTCCTGTACAGCCACTAGTACGCGTAGCATTTCAACCCCCACGAATAATCGTATTTACAACCAAGTACCCATTTTACTATTGAGTTAAATATGCCTACCTTTCTGGGTGCCTAACCCAGGTCGATGGCAAATAAGGAAAACCCCAACCACAAGGGGGTTTTTCAGGGCCATTGCTCCCTGAAACCTCTCTGAAAAGGCCAGGTTCTGGCACTGGTCCCTGGTAGATTTAAATTCCATAGCTAATGTCCCGGTCTAATATAAAATACATTGGGAGTATTCTATGTCTGCCTGATAAGCTCCAGGGAGCCGTAGGGGCTCCCCACTGAAAACCAGCGTTGAATGTAATGAAACGCCATTTTCTGGGTAAGTCCCGGAGGCTCCCCGGAGCTATCCAGGCTGATTGTATATGTACAGTACAACCTCGATTCAACGTACCCCGATTCAACGAATCTCCGGCTAGTTTGCACACTTTTCAGGCCGGATTTACTCACCCGGTTCGACAAACAATGGTTCGCCGAAGCGGGGGATGTTCGGATTTGCTTACGACGTCGAGACAGAGTTCACAAACTGGTGGAAAACTTTCCCATTCTATCACAGGATAGAATAATAGGAAGAATAAGAAACTTAGATGATTGTCATGCCCTTCAAGAAGACCTGGACAAAATAAGTACATGGAGCGCCACTTGGCAAATGGAATTTAATGTTATTAATTAATAAATCATTTCTAAAACTGGTGTTTTAATAACTCTTTATTATCCTAATTAAACTAAACTAAATAAAACCAAAAATATACTGTAATATGATAGCTATCTGCTATTTGAGAAATTATTCATGTTACTGGCGGCACAACTCCAGCACGAGTGGACAGGTCTAATCCCTGTCCACACAACACCATGCTTGTTGAGTTTGATTTCGTCACAACAGTTTAGTGATCTATGGCTTCGAAATAATAAAATTAATAAATCAGTTCCAAAATAAGTATTTTTTATAGCTCTTATTGCCGTAATAATGTTGCTAAACTAAATATATAACCCAAAATATATAATTTGATGTAAATAAAATATTTAAGAGAGATTTATGTTACTGGATCTGGCTTAAACACCAGCCTACTGAAGGGTGTACGTATAGACTTAGTCTGCGTTCGTACAGTATGCACCCAGTGCCTTTAGCTTTGTCTGTGATTGACGTACAGTATTTATCCGCCGGTGGAAGAATAATTGTGGAATTGACCATTTTTTTACTGCAGCTCTTTGGTTATAAAACAAAATGTCTCAGGGGCTTACTAATAGTGCCTTATTAATGCCACGAGAACAGCTGTACCAAGCACGAGAACAGCCGTACCCAGCACAAGAACAGCCGTACCAAGCACGAGAACAGCCGTACCAAGCACGAGAACAGCCGTACCAAGCACGAGAACAGCCGTACCAAGCACGAGAACAGCTGAACCCAGCACGAGAACAGCCGTACCCAGCATGAGAACAACCATACCCAGCACAAGAACAGCCGTACCCAGCACGAGCACAGTTGTACCCAGCACTGGTACAACAGCAGCCAGCACCAGCTCAGAAGTAGCTGAACCCACAGCAGCAGCGAGCACCAGCAAAGCTGATGCGTTCTGGTCCCCCCTTTTCCCTGCTTTCGCAGGGAAAAGGGGGGACCAGAACGAACCACAGCAGTGGAAGGACAAGGGGGTGCGGACAGAACCAAGGCCGAAACGACCAACACCCCCCCCCCCAAGTCTGGGTCCCTAGAAGCAAAATGAGGCACTCACGGGGCTTCCGGCACAGCAACCAACCTAGCGCGTTGCAATAACCTAAACCTAACAAGTAACGCTTGCGCCATCTGAATCCTAATAATGTCATCAGTAGATTGGGTAAACTGAGTCACCAGCAAGCAACAAAACTCACAGGATTCTGGATTGAAAGTGTGAAAGTGTCACCAACCCAACAGGCCATGTGGCGGAGGAAAAAATAGTGAGAGTCACCCTGAAACAAAGGGACAGAGCAAACCACCTCAAACTCTCACAAAGCGAGGGGGGACTCAGGGGTCACATCCATGGGACCCGCACGCCCCCCGTGGGGCTTCCCAGGGTCCTGAGACGGAACTCATGTTCCACCCCTTCCTGCGAATAGACAGTACGTTTTAATACTAAATGTAATAAGTACATTCCTGCCTGTCTGCATAGTACATAAATACACTTAATTGTGCTGTTACATTTACCTCTCCATATATTCTCCTCATTTTCTATTTTTACAATAAAAATTTTTAGGTAGAAGTTTTCTTGTTCAATTCTATATACACAAGTTTTAAATATAAAGAATTTCTTTTTCAGTTTTATTAAACAATAGAGATTTTATAAAAAATTTAAAAATATCCTGAGTTACTTTATAATATATTGAAAGACTTTAGTGTTGTTTTATTAGTTTTATAAAATTGTAATATCACTATAGCTATAGGTTAAGTACTAATTGTAATTAAGAGGCAATAAATGCTATTTACATTCTTGTCCTCCTGCCCTCCCATGGTTAGGTTAGGTCGTGGTTTTCAATTCAGCTTTTCAGGTAAACTCTAATATTCACAATATTTTGGTGCGATGCTGGCGATTAAGTGTATTTATGTACTATGCCGATAGTAATAATTGAACTTATTACATTTAGTATTAAAGATACTGTCTATTCGGAGGATGGGCTGCATGCTCAGGGAAGCCCAGGCAGGGTACTGCTAACCGGCACCCAAGTCCACCAAACAACTTTCTAATAGCTGAACCCCCAGGACGTGTACACTCATGCTCACGTGGACCTAACAGGGAGTACCACCCAAATAGATACACACAGTGCGCACAGTGCACAAGGGGCAATAATCAAGGCAGACCCCCCCACCAGGCAAGCAAACAAAAAGAAAACCCCACAAGAGGACAGTGTACTCAGGCAGAACAGAGCCGGCCGTCATAAATGGTGAAAGCAAGCTGCGCAGTACCCTGCGCCCCTTACCAGTGCAAACTGCCTCCTACCCTAAGGCAAACAAAGGGAGTCAGAACATCTAGCAGACAAAGGGTGGCCAAAAACAGATCAGCAAATGGCCAAGCAGAGGCAGAACCCAAGGAACTCGTGGAAGGTGGCCCTAAGCCCCAAAGACCGTACTAACTGGGCTCCTAGGGAAGGTAACCCTAGGCGCATGCAGCCCGAGTACTTTAGAAATACTCCTGGCTTGTGCACCACCAAAAAGGCAGCCACCACACACAAGGCACAGAGCTGAAACAAGTCTGGAGCCAGAGCACACAACCTCTGTCTAGCGTATCAGCCTCAGAACTTTGTGTGTGGATTGCCGGCGAGGGGGTCTGGGGCTCTCCCTTCCCGCTCCTGGGAAGAGGGAGCTGCGCAGACAGCGGTGCGGCGATGTGTGACGTCATGCTTGTTTGCTCATTTCTGTTTAGGGAGTTCTGTCCACTAGTTCGGCTTTTTGTAGCAATTTTCACCAGAATAGGGGTTTGTTTTGAGGCACTTATCTTTCTGGGTGCCTGACCCAGTCGATAGCAGACATAGAATGCTTCCAACCACACGGGGGTTTCTACAGGCCATTGCTCCTCGCGCCTCTCTGAGGGAGCCAGATTCTGGCTTGTGGTCCCCGGTAAGCCCAAAGAACTCTATACACATGACTCATGTCAAAGTCTGACATTAGCCATATCAGCCTGGATAGCTCCGGGCAGCTGAAGGGGCTCCCCTTCCCCCCAGAAAATGGTTGTAAAATATGCCATTAATACTGTAAATAATGATGCGAAAATAAGTTCGCTTCAGCTCGGACAGGTTGAATGCCGCTAGCAACACCTCCGGGACGCACCACACTTGAGCGATCATGGTGTGTGACATCATCGGCCAACATCTCAGCTCATATATGTCATTGGTAAGTGCAGTTATTTTTTTTTTTTTTGCTGTGCTCAGGGAACACAAATGAACACTTTTATAAGAACAAAAAATTTTTTGTTTTATGCCTGGCGGTGTTGAAGGCTATTCGAAGGCCATTGAAGGCCATCTGAATAGCAGCATAGGGGTTAAAAAGATAATTTTAACCGACATCTTAAAACATTTACAATAAACCTCGGTATGGTACATGAAACAAAATTTTTTAATAAATTGGGCATGTACCAGATAATTTACCTGAACAATGTAATCGCCCAACCAGTATGCAATGCTTGTGTCCAGCACTCGTGGGCCTGAGTTTTCTGGAGTGTCTGAGGTATAAGCATGTAGCCCAAGATAATCCACCGCTCCATGGCATCAAGAGAGAGATATTCACATGGCATCACATCAGTTTGTGCTGGGTTAAGGAGCTGACTTGGTGTGCTAACTAAACTTAACATTTGTGCTGCCCTGAAAAGGAAAATATATGAAATATGAGGAATTAAAATGTTTTCATTAATACTGACAGTTTCTGTATTGCAACAAACTTAAATCTCAATAGTGAAAATTATGGAAAAATTTCTTAACAATTATTTGACTAAGTGGTAAGCTAGGATAATTGAAACTCAGTGGCCTGAAATATGTAGCAGGATCCAAAACATGAGCCAGAATAAAATTATGATGTCACACACTTGCATACTAAATATAAAACACAAAACTTGATCTCTTATTTTGGTTAGGTTAGGTTTAATTAAGTTACGATGGGTTGGGTTTGGCAGGGTCAGGATGGTTTTAGATTTACTTAAATTTACTTAAAGAGTAGTGATGACAGAGTGCAGAGTTGTGAAACATTTAGACCCTACTCTAAAATATGAGCATACTGTATAGTTAATTAATGGAGGATCAATTGGGTAAGGTCTGAATGCAACAACTCAACAGAAGGTTGTCTGATATACAGTATGTAAATGTAAATTAAACAAACATACCTCCACTGTTCTGCTCTTAAATTTCTCCGAGGGTACAGAACCCAAAGTGAGCTGAGAGCAACAGAAACAAGCTTAGCATGAGGTACAAATTCTTCGTTCAATTTCTTTAATGGAGTTTCATAATCCATTATCATCTGCCCAAGACGTGGAAAACTTGGGTCCCTGAAAGAGAAACCATCAGGAGAATTAGGATTAGCACAGTTACAGCCCCGCTCCCGAGTCAGGTAAGTCCACTACGAGCTCACCATAGCCCCTGCTACTTGGAACATTTTTTGTTCCGAGTAGCTGAATCTAAACCAACATATGGGATTTATAATAACAGAAATGATACTTTATGTTTTCAACCACCCTTTAACCCCCTTGTGGGAGTTTTTTCTAAACAAAATACAGTAACTTCCACACACTGAATTTTTTTAAGCGTATTAGAAAATATTCATGTCCAACAGAATTGCAGAATATCACATACCATAAACAAAAAACCAGCATTGAATGTAATGAAATACCATTTTCTGGGTGAGATCCGGAGGCTCCCTGGAACCATCCAGGCTGATATAGATATACTGTCTCCACTCAATCATCCGGACTATATGGGAAGGACCCCCAGCCGGAGTATCACATTTTTTGGATAATGGTACTTTTTCACCTATGAGTCCAAAAGTGACCATTTCCAACTATTTTTATACTACAAACAACATAATTTGAATTGCCTTGCCACATATAATTATTAAATATTCAACTAGAAACCCCAACGTACCTTGTTGGTGTTCGTCTTCTTGATTGATGCCACACATCTTGAAGTTAAGAATTCTTAACAATTTACGTAACCTATACTAACACAACACTAAAATTACTGTACAGTTCATTAAGCAAAGTTAGTTTTGACTGCCAGCTGCTGAAGCCTCACTGGTTGAAGGCACTTGGGTTGCCTGTGAAACCTTACTTGTTGAAGGCATTTGGCTGCCTGCGACACCTCACTGGTTGAACAACATATAACTTGTCTTTAATTGCTAGGACAACCTTCTTCCTCTTAACACCTCCAGAACGATTGATGCTGCTACCAGACATAGTCTTGGCCAAAAATGTTTAAAGTTACAATGAAAATAAAAAGAGTTATTTAAAAAAATATTTCACTAATGGCACAGCACCGTGTTATAACACGAGGGACGGGAGCACATGGGTTGACCAGTGTTGGACGGGTCCACTTGGGGCAGCTATAGCACGTTATGTAGGCCGCCAGGAGGAAAAAACTCACAATATTTTTTAAGGAAACTTCAGCTTGTGCACATTGCTTTTAGGAAACTTATTTATTTGTTATTACATAATTACTAGTACTTATTTCATTTGTATTTGGCTATGATTAATTGTTCTAAAATAATTGGTAATTCCTGTACCCAGGTGGCCCCTCCCGATGCTTCCCTCCCACCCTCCCGACACCACACACCCACCCCACCCCCTCCTCCACCATGCGTCTAGAGCCACATACATACGGGATTAATACGGTACGGCCGTATTTTTATCCGGCCAAATCAGCTTTTATCCAGCCAAACCAGCTTTTATCCGGTTCCTGTGGCCATTTTGGCCGGATATTGAGATAACTTTATCCGGTCACGATTTTGGCCGTATAAGGGCATTTTCCGGATGTTCGAATCCCGAATAATCGCGGGGTTACAGTATTAGATTTTTGGCATCAGTCAACGTGCATGGAATCCTAGGCCCACCGAGGACCACAAGTCAGAACCTGGCCTCCTCAGAGAGGCACAAGGAGCAATGGCCTATAGAAACCCCCCGTGTGGTTGGAAGCATTCTAGGTCTGCCATCGATCAGGTCAGGCACCCAGAAAGGTAAGCATCCCAAAACAAATACCCTATTCTGGTGAAAACATTGCTAAAAAGAGTCAAACGAGTGGATAGAACTCCCCAAATGAAAACAAGCAAACTAGCATGACGTCATCACGTTGCCACGCTGCTGTCTGAGCAACCTCCCTCTCCCCGGGAAGGGAAGGGGGGAGCCCCTCCCCCTCCCCGGGAAGGGAAGGGGGGAGCCCCTCCCCCTCCCCGGGAAGGGAAGGGGGGAGCCCCAGACCTTAACACCGGCTACCCACCCTTCAGTTCTTAACCACTGTGATGCGCCAACCGAGAAAACTCAGCCGGTGGGAAACTGCACCAACCGAGAAAACACCTTTTGAATATTTCGAACCCACTTGAAACGCGCGTGCGATAGCATGTGTACGAGATGGATGCCCGAGGCCTTCAGTGAGCGGCGGCCATTTTGAAAAAAAAACCAGCGTTGAATGTAATGAAACGCCATTTTCTTGGTGAGACCCGGAGGCTCCCTGGAGCAGTCTTTCAGGCATGGATCTTTGGTGTTCGTACGGGGGCCTTGCTGCTCGTTGTTCTCGTGTTGTTCTCGGGACTTTTCGGGGCTGTGGCGCCTTGGGTTGGCGTTTGCTGCTGGTTGTCTCGCTTCCGTGGGGGGGTGTGTGGTGTCCGCCTCCCGGTTCCGTCCCATTGACCTTCCTCTGTGGGTAGTTAGCTCCGGGGAACCGACGGGGCTCCCCCCAGAAAACCAGCGTTGAATGTAATGAAACGCCATTTTTCTGGGCAAGACCCAGAGGCTCCCCGGCAACCCTCCCTCCCTCCGGTCGGCGGTTTTTCTCGTGTTTTGACATCCAGCCTCAGAACTGAGGGGTGGATAGCCGGCGTGGGAGGTCTTGGGCTCCCCCTTCCCCCTCCCAGGGAGGGGGGAGCTGCGCAGACAGCGGCGCGGTGATGTGTGACGTCATACTAGTTTGCTTGTTTTCTGTTGAGGAGTTCTGTCCACTAATTCGGCTTTAGGTAGCAATTTTCACCAAAATAGGGGTTTGTTTTGGAATGCTTACCTTTCTGGATGCCAGACCCAGTCAATGGCAGACATCGAATGCTTCCAACCACACGGGGGTTTCTATAGGCCATTGCTCCCCTTGCCTCTCTGAGGGGGGCCAGGTTCTGGCCGTGGTCCCCGGTAGGCCTTAGAACTCCATACACATGACTGATGCCAAAGTCTGACATTAGCATATCAGCCTGGTAAAGCTCCGGGGAGCCGATGGGGGCTCCCCCCAGAAAAATCCCAGAATGCCCCAGGCCCAAGAGTAGCCTCAGTTCTGATAGAGCAATCATGGCTGACGCACGTGCCTCAGGCTCCCAATCGCCTGTGGAACGTACTGTTGCAAGACCGTTTTCTCCAGGGCAGATAAACACTTTATTGTTTGAAGATGATGTGGGGATATTATACTGATGGCCCAAAGACCGATAAGATACGTAACACAAGGGTCCGATGGAAGTGAGACAGATGCATATGAAGACGATACAATGAGGGCGTATCGTTCAGGGCGAGCGGCATGCACAGTGGAGCATCACAGGTCATCGCCCTTGCCAGTATTATCCTACCACCACCTCCATCTCCCATTTTTGACGAGAGTGATACTGTTGAGTCATTTTCTGGATTTAGTGATGCTGCTTCTGATACAAGTAGCATAGATGAGCCAAGTGCTAACAGCTGCCGTCGTGGTGTTACTAGGCAATGATCTGCTGTCTCAGCAGGTCACCCTGCCAAGCGCCGCCATGTATCCCCTCATGACAACATTGACGACAGTGTTGCCTCTACATCTACTTTCCCTGCTCGCCCTACTAGTAGACAAGGTAGAAGACCTCCAACTCCTCCCCAAAGGAGTTTAGGTGCAAGAAAATGTTTCCGTAGTGGAATCGCTCAAGTCGGTGCTACAGGGAGAACAGGTGAATTTGTGTGGGAGGACTGTGATATTTTTGCACCACACACAACGTCAATTTGATGATAGTGATGTGGGGTTGCAGCCACGTTTCTGTACACAGGTGACGACATAATGGAAATGTACTATTTTTTTGCATGTTGACCAGACCACACACTAGAAGTTGAAGGGACGACGACGTTTCGGTCCGTCCTGGACCATTCTCAAGTCGATTGTGAAGAGGAGGTAGACAGAGGCAATAAATAGGCAAGAGAGAGCTGAGGAGGAAAGTAAGGTGTAGGGGATAGTAGTAATAATGAGAACTGCAGAGGGCCTATTGGCCCATACGAGGCAGCTCCTATTATAACCACCGAATGAGAAGGAGATAGTAATAGGAATAAGAAGAGGATAGCAAGGGAGCGTAGGAGAAGACAATGAACAGAAAAAGGGCAGAAGAGAGAAAGAAAAGGAAAGAGAAAGAAAGATAAATGGAAGGGGTAAGCTTATGTTAAGTCACGTTTGTTAGAAAGATTAGAGCATTTGAGTATATACTGTGAAAGGGAAGAGTCCACAGCAACAAAGCCAGGACTCAAGTTCATGTTGGGTACATTGTGTATCAAAGCCGATTCTACAAGACGGCGTCTGTGTAGAGGAAAGATTATTTTGGAGGAAGACCAATCAATGGGATGATTAGAATCCCTCACATGGCAGAAGAGAGCATTGTTAGTGTCTGCAGACTTAACACTTCTTTTGTGTTCTTTAAGTCTGTCATTCAGTGTATGGCCAGTTTCTCCAAAGTATTGGAGAGGACAAGATGAACAGGAAATAGAGTAGACACCAGCAGCATTAGAAGCAGGAGGAGCAGTGTGAACTAGATTGCTACGAAGTGTGTTAATTTGTCGAAAGGCGAGTTTAATGTCAAGAGGACGAAAGGTATTGGTAAAAGTTTTGAGTTCAGATATGAAGGGAAGTCATAGTACAGTGCTACTAGTATTGGAAGCAGGTTTAGGATGAAAGAAATTTCGTTTAGCTTGAGAGTAGGCACAGTTGATGAAATGCAAAGGGTAACCAAGGCGAGAGAATGATTTGTAGATAAAGGCAATTTCAGAATCAAGAAACTGAGGGTCGCTGATGCGTAGAGCGCGGAGGAAGAGAGAGACGAGGACACTTTTCTTAACAGGGGGAGGATGGTAGGAAAAGAAGTGAATGTACATGCCACTATGCATGGGTTTACGATAGACAGAGAAAGAGAACCCAGACACAGAGCTGTGAACATGAACATCAAGAAAAGGAAGGAGGGAATTAGATTCCCACTCAACTTTGGAATGGATAGAAGGAGCCAGATTGTTAAGAGAGGCGAGGAAAGGCTGGAAAAGATTAAGGTCATGAGGCCATAAAGCAAAAATGTCATCAACATAGC